GTCTGCGGCGTCCCCGCAGTGAAGCGACGAAGGGAATACAATTCAACGGCGTAGACGCACACCACTACGCTGCCGTGTACACTACGCAGATATAGTAATAATAGTAACACTATATATATATATATATAGGGGGAGAGGCAGGAGAGGAGGAGCAAGCAGGAGCTGCCCCTTCTCTGTCTCTCTCGCAAAATCTCTCTTAGCGCGTGAGTGAGGCAACGCCAGTAATGACTACGGCAGGCACAACGACTGGCGCAAACGGGTGCGTGGGCGAACACCAGCGCGGCCGGATGCCCATTGCGCAGACGCTTCTCACGATCCACACCTTCTATGACCTGCCGCGGGAGATGCAGCAGCTGGACCCGCGGCGGGAGCAGATTGAGCTCGTCGTGCGGCCTGTAGTCAGGTACGACTACCAGGAGCGGCACATCACATTTCTAAAGCTGAACGAGCGTGTGCTGCCGTTCTCCTCCTCCTCCATTTTGTTCAAGGGTGGGCGGCTTGTGGTGGACCTCGGCAGCCCCGCCTCCCCCAACGCGAGCACAGGAGGTACGCTGCAATGCGCCTCGCCGCGTGACGCACCGTGCCCGCGGTGGCGCCCAGCAGCGGAGGAGGAGGCGTCCGAGGAGGGGGGCGGCGACGGTGACGACACCCCGCGGCGGGGTGTGATGAAGGGAAATCAGATTCTGCTGCAATACCCTTCCCCGCGTGGCCTCTCAACGCTGATTGATGTCATGGTTGGCATGCGTCAGCACCGTCTAGGATCCTCCCTGGTGCGGTGGATCACAAGCACCCTAGACACCAGCACGCCCTCCAACGGCGTCGGGTACTTCACCGTGGCAACCGAAGAAATACGACGGAAGAAGTCTGTCACGCGTACGGTAGGCCTCAATGTGGGAGGCGTCATCTTCTCTGCCTCCGTCAACCCCGGTGACGACCAGGACTGCATACTTGAACGCCTCATGCAGGACAAGAATCGCTACCTCGGCAGCTACGGCAACAACGAACTCCTGGCGAAGGTGGATGTGGCTGCCATGTTGCGTGAGGGACTCTCCGAAGAGGAAATTCACCGACACATGCGGCTGCTTGTGGATCCCGACTACTACGTTCGACGCCTGGAGAACCTGCTGACGCTCTACCCCTCTTACGCGGGTGCGGAATGGCGGCAGAGTGGAATACTGCTGCAGAATTATGCCTCAAGGGAGGAGGAGCTGATGCGCCGGGCCATTCTGGAGATTGGGCCGGAATGCGCCACCGTATCCGCGCGGCTTCGTTTTCTGGCCTACCGCAAAAAACACCTTCTCAGCGACCAGAGCATACTGGCTTGCCTGCAATCCGTGCTGAAGGGAGACATCAATGAAACCTTGGTAAATGAACCCGAGGCCATCTTTGAAGTGTTGACAAAAAACTTTGGAAAAGAGCCGCGGCCATCGTCGTACCTCTTCCCTGTGCAGACGTATACGCCGGACAGACGCACGTTCTTCTTTGAGACGCTGCACGTTCCGGTCAACCGAACTGGCGAGAAGCACCGCGAGATGACGCTGGCCTCGCGCAGTAAGCGGACGCCCTTCACAATGTCGCCGTGTGAGCGGCCACTGCACTTTGGGACGTCGAGTGGGCGCTCCATTGAGGCCCCGAGTGAGATAGAAATTCTGCGGGAAAAGTATTCCCCGGAGTTCGCCCAAATTGTCCCGTGCATCGCGAATGCCCTGCAGGCGGTGGTGGAACAGAACCGAAAGCTCGTCCACGCCGCCGCGGCCGATGCTAGTTTTGTCATCTTTCAGCAACAGGGGGCGAAGCTGCAGCTCTCCTTTCAGGACTTTGTGCACCGCACGGCGGAGTACACCTTCATCTCCCCCTCCTCCCTCCTTGGCGCCGTCATCTACCTTGACCGCCTCTGCCTGCACCACCCCAACCTCATCCTCACGGAACGCAACATACTGCGACTCTTCCTCACCTCCGTGCGCGTCGCCTCCAAAACGATGGAGCTGCGTAGCGTCAACAACCGCCACTTCGCGGAGGTCTTTGGCTTAGAAACAAAATCGCTGAATCTCATGGAGGAGGTGTTTATCAAGCAGCTGATGTTTGATTTTTTCCTCTCCCCAGAGGAGTTTGGGGACTACGCACGTCTGCTGCAGTCACCAAACGCCTACCAGCTCCGAGCTCTGTCGACGCATCGGGCGTTTGCGGCAACATGCGAGACGGCCGTCAAGGCGCCGTTGAGCCCGCAGGAAACGCAGAGGAGGTATGGCGCCACGATTATCAGCGCCGAGAACCTTCGTGCCGCGAACCAGGCGGGAAGTGACAGGCAGGCAAACATTAGAGAACACGTCGTTGATGTCAAGGAGTCGGCAGGGAATGCAGTCATCAACGGTGCTCAGGTGGCATCGTGCGCCGAGGGCGTGGAAAAGAATGAACGCGCTAACGGGGCGGGGGCATCGCCCAAGAAACTCGCAGGCGGCGGCAGCGGCAGCGGCGGCCATGGCCTCAACTGCATTGGTGTCAGCAACAACAATAACACCGCAACGACGGTGGGGGATAGTAACGGGGATGCTTCCAGAGCCATCGTGGGAGGCCTCAGCCAGGCAGATCGTAAGCACAAGCTGGTGGTGTAGCGGCCCTGTTCACCGCGTAAAAAAAAAGGGGGAATCGACCCAACGCAGAGGGCACCGAAAGAACCACAAAGAATAAGAGGAAAAAGAGGGCCGGGGTCAATTTTGGTGCTGAAGGGGCAACAACGCCTGTGACCCCCTCCATTGCGGCAAATGGAACCTGCGATTGAGCGTGGGTAACAACGAATATATATATATATATAATTGGACCAATCATGCAGCGAGGACGGAGGAGGAGGAGGAGGAGGGGAAGAGGCAAGAAGAAGCACGTCCCGTTTCATCTTTGTCCTTTGCTTTTTTTTTTACTTTGAGGTAGAGGTGGAGTGTTTTGAGAACTTACGAGATGCACGGCCCAGTTCGGTAGCGGACCAGTAAAATACCCCAACGATCGCTTTTTTTTCTCTCTGCAGGCTGTTTCGGCACATGAGGTTTCTCGCTAACGGGTGGACCTCTGGAAGGCCCAGCCAAACCCTCTCCGCCCCCCACCTCCACGAGGTTGGCGTGTTGGAGGCGCTTTCAGCCCTGACTTTCTGACAGTACTTAATGATGTGCAGATAATTTTTCAGGCATCGCCTTGAACACCCTCGCTGTTTGGTGTCAAATTAATATGTATATGATGCTACAGAAAGGACGGAGAAAATTACACATTTTTCTTCCATGCCGCTTCCCACCACCCTTCTCTCAGAGCAAAAGTAAAAGGCACCAGCTGCTCTGTCTGCGTTGTTGTTGCTGTTTCGCCTTGCATCAGTACGCGTCTTTTTTCCTCCTCTGTGGAGGGGTAGGGGAAAAAGTGAATTGGCGTGCACGCGACTGCTGAGAGGTCTCCGTTGGGCAACACGGTCGCGCCTGCAAGGACTCTCCATCTTCCCCTCCCACTCTCCCACGCTTCACTTCATACTTTTGTTTGGTCGTCCCGATGTGACAGTGCACTGGGGTTTTATGTTGGGTCTGTCTGCGCGGCTTTTTTGTTTTGTTTTTAGGAGTGTCAACTCCAACGCCTCCGTAGGGCCAGTGCCCTGGGATCTAACGACCCCATTTTATTTTGTTTTTATCGGATGCATTCGTGTGTTTCGCTTTCTTTCTTTGTGTGTGTCTGCGTGCGTCTACCGCTCCCCTTGTGTTTACTCTTTGTTGTTGCTGTTGTTGTTGTTTTCATCCTTTCCACCTTGGCCTCACCGCCCACAGCCGTGACGGCGTCCTCTCTCTGGGGTCTCTGGGTGTACGAGAGGAGGCGTGAGCGGCACTGGCAGTATTTGTTTTAGTTTTCTTTTTCCTGCTTCTTTGTTTTTTTTTGTTTTGCCCTTTTTGTTTTCGGCCCCTTTCGTCGCACGGCACATAGTTCTGCGCGGCCCCTTAAAAACCTCCGCTCCAGCCTCTCCCATCCCCCACCCGCCTGGCAACCCATCGGAGGCTGTCGCGTGGGGCCGCGGGAAAGAGATGGGCTCAACGGCAATGAGATGCGGACTATTTTTTTTCTTGTTTTCGTTGTTCTACCTCTCTATTGCTTGTTGTATCAGTGAGTCTCCTTTTTTTTTCCTTTTTTGCTTTTTCGTTTTGTACTATATGGGGGCTTTTTCAATCCTTCACCCCCTCTCTCTCTCATACTTTTCTCTATCTTTATCTATCTCTTTCCGCGCGCACGCGTCTCTTCTCCCTTCAGTGGCGCCTCCTCTTTACGTGTGATGCAGCGCAGGACATGAAGAGGCGGGGAGCTGACCGGGGCACGCTTTTTTGAGGCGTCTGATCGATGCCTGTCCGCGTGCGTGTAGGAGTGGGAGGCATGGAGTCCGAGATAGCGAGGGTGAGGCATAAATGTGTATTTACGTATTCGTCCTGCTCTGCGGGTGTCGGTGTGTGTGTGTGTGTGTGTGTGTGTATTTCCTTCGTTACTTGTGTCTTACGAATGGCGGCTGCCTTGTGTCTTGTTCTTGTTTACGCCTTCATTTCCCCTCCATGCAGGAGGGTTGGAGGGCGCTTTTCGCCGTGCACCCTCGCTATTTCGTCGTCTTCTTCTTCCTCGCTTCATCTCCCTTGTATCACCAACAGTGATTTTTGTGTCTTTTGCGTGAGTGCGTGTGTGTTTCTCCCGCCCCCCTCAGCCCGCGCAGCTACGGGTCCCTTCCCTCGTCTGTGCGTGTGTCCCTCCCTCACGGTGCGTGTGCGAGCCCCCCGCCGCCGCACTTTTGTGTCGTGTGTGTCATTTGCGCGCCGTCGACCGCCGCCGCTCCGCTTCTCCCCTCGCGGCGCCTGCGTCCAGGCGGAGCCGAGAGAAGCGGAGAAGCGGCGGTGGGGGGGGGGGAAGTTATCACGCACAACGCCACTCCGTGGTTTTGACTCTCTTCCGCGTGTTCCCGCGCCCCTCTTTCGCTCCTTCACTCTCTCTTTTTGTTGTGTGTGTGTGTGTGTTTTCGCCGCCGCTGCCGAGACGTGGGGTGGTCTTACGGGCCTCACTCACCGGATGAAGCTCCTCTTCTCTTCTCTTCCCTCCTCTTCTCTCCTCTCGCACACCCGCTGGCCGGTGGGGTGCGTCTGCAGTTGTGAAGCTCACAGTTAAGAAAGCCCCACTTGTTTTTTTTTCGTTATTGCCGTCATCGTCGTCGGGTTTTTTTTCTTTTCTGCGTCGTTGATGTTCTACTCTGGCTGGAAGTTTCCCACGCCGCAGCGCATCGTTGCGGGCGACGGCCAGCAGGACGCAAACCACTTTATCCAGGAGACGTGCAGCCCCGGCATCTGCCTCATCCACTTCCTCTCCAGCAGCACGCGGCTTGGCACGTCCGCGTCCGCCGCCAACAACCCCGCGCGCAGGGAGGGCAACGGGCGCATTCACCTCAAAAGCGATGTGCCGATTCACCCGTACAGTGGCGTGTTTTACTTTGAGGTGGAGGTGCGGTCCATTGCGGCGGAGGGCAGGAACGGCCGCGGCGCCGCCCCGAGCGCGACGGAGCCAGAACTCGTCATTGGTATCTGCCGCGAGTCCCTTCCGCAGCACGCACTGCCCGGCGAAGAGGCGTGGAGCGTTGGCCTCTTCACCGCCCAGCGCATGGCGTACATAAACGGCAAGAGCGAAGGTGAGGCGGTGCGCTTCCCCGTCGGCGCACGTCAGCGCAACAGCGGCGCGGACGATCACCGTGCGCGGGGGATGAAGGTTGGGGACACCGTTGGGTGCATCGTCAACCTCATGGACGGCACCGTGCGCTTTACCTTCAACGGTGAGCTCCTCGACGTCGTGGCCACACTGAGCCGCCGCATGCCGCGACACGGCTACTACCCCGCCGTGGGCATGTTTCGGCTGCTGCTCGCAGTTAGCCTGCGCGTCGTGTTTCCGCCGCTGGGCGGTGCCGCGCCTATACCACGTCCCGCCATGAGCGACAGGGCACCACCACCACCGCCGCCGCCGCCGCTGTCTGCAGCGGCAGCTAATACGAATACGAACCCTGCGGCAGTGACGGGGCAGGGGTCTGCCGCGGCTGCTTTCCTTCTTCGACAGGAAACGAGGACGACGGCGGCTGGGTATTTTTCATTTAACCTGGACAAGTACTGTGAGGGGATTGCGGAGGAACTGGTTCGCCGGCACCAGCAAAAGACCGCGACAGATATACAGAACGAAGGCGAGGAGGGTGCCAGCTGCTCCTGTCGGGATGCAAGTATTATGGCAGCCATACGAAAACACTTGGCGGCACGGGGAATGACGAAGTCCCTCTCTGCCTTTGAGAAGGAGCGAAAGGAGTTGCATTGCGCCACCACCGCCACCTCCCCCTCCCCTCTTCAGGAAAGGGAGACGGTGCAGAGTACGGAGGAGGCGCATGCCGTACGAGCGGAAGAAAACCCCAGGAAGGTTTCCAAAAACAGTAATATGCGTGGCAGTAACGTCAGTTCACGCACCCAGGCGAGCAGCAAAGTAGTGGACGAGGAAGGTCAAACCATTGCCTACAGTCTGCACATTCAGCAGCTGCGGGAGGACATTGGCCGTGGGGACATGATCGCCAGCACGCAGCGCATTCTCGCAAACGGCGTCATCTCCCCCGCCACGCGCAACAAAATTGCCGCCGTGGTGGAAGACGTCAACGTGTTATCGAATGAATTTTGGGGCGTTATCTTTTTCGCGCAGCGGCGGGACATCCTCTTCCTGCTGCGGGTGGCACACCTGTTGGAGGCCACTCTGGACGCCATGGAGGAGGGGCTCGCCGCGCTCCACTCGCGTCTCACGGGCCGGGAGGACCCAAACGGGGGTGCGACAGGCGACGACGCCGGCGCGGCCGCCGCGAAGACGCCTCTCACGACGGCGGAGCTCATGAAGCTGGCGCTTCTCATCCTCCTTGAGCCGTTTGAGGCGGTGTCGGCGGCCGCCAGGCATCACCAGCGCGCCTCTGCCGCGGGGGTGCGAACAGGGGACGCGGCCGCCTTCGGCATGCTTGACGAAACCTTCGCCAAGGGAGAGTCCCGGTGGGCATGCGACGACCTCGCGGCCCACCTCTTCTTCACGGCGGACAAGGCACTCTGGTCTGGACCAGAGGCGCCGGTCACGCTGCTGGTGCGCCGCGGCGTGCCAAGCATGCCACCACCGAAGCCGAAGCACCAGCGCCGCATCGTGCAAAAGCTCTCCATGCTGCTCTCGCACCAGCGTGCCGTGTGTGCCTGGGCGGAGGAGTCGTGTCACGCAGGTGCGTCTCAGGCGTGGGTAGAAAAATGGTTGCTGCTCGTGCAAGACGCGAAGGTGCAGTACCGCGCCCGCTGTTGGTGCCTCCTCCTTCACGCCATCGAGGACTTCAACGGTGCCGTGGAGTATCGACTCCTCCTCTGGATGCGCCGACACGAGGAGGAGATGCGGGAGGCTGAGAAGGGAGGGGGATTGGGCCAACGCGGCGCCACCGCGCGTCAACGCGAAGGTGCGCGGGGGCGCCTGTTCCCTTCGCTCCGGTCAGCATGGCGTCACGTGCATGCCGCAGCCGCGCTAGAGCCGCTGCTTAACATCGTAACAAAAGCCTTTAGTGACAGACTGCATCGCGCCGCCACATCCGCGCACCTCGCCACAATGGCGGCGCAGAACAGTGTATCATCTTCCTTTGACAAGGGCCCAAAGAGAAGCCTCTCCTTCCCATGCGATCTTATGGAGAGTGAGGAAGACGCGGGGCGCTATGAGGATGGCCCGCAGCCAGGTGAACTCACATCGGAGCTGGGGTGCACGCCCGTGTCAAACCGCGGCAACCGCAGCGCCAGCGCGCTGAGGAGGGTGTCGTGCTACAACGACGACGTCCGCCTGAGTTTCATGTACATGAAAAGTGTCTACAAAGATGTTTTTGCGTAGAAAAAAGAAAGGCTGAAGCCTCCCCCGCTACGTGCAATGTCCCTTCACTTTGTGCGTGTGTGTATGTGTCGTTTGTTTTTATTTGCATATTTTCTTTTTTTGTTGGTTTTTTTTTTCATCATGGCAGTGGTGGCGGTTTCTTTGTTTGTGCTTCCTTCCTTTCTTTCTTCGCGCCCCACCGTCTTCGTCTTGGCGTTTCGCATTGGAGCAGGGAGCGGAGGGAGTCTTTTTTCGCCCCGCTCCACACAAACGAAACTTTCTTCTTGTTGTTGTTCCACCCCCCTCCCGTGCGTTTGTTCGTTGTTGTTTTCTTAGTTGCTGTTTCTTCTCGGAGGGCTCTTCAGCGGTCCCGGCGTCCTCGTTTGCGTTTCTTCGCTTGGCAGTTCGTTGCAGCGCCCTTCTTCGGGCATACATGCCTGAGCTTCTGTCCCGGGGAAAGAGGAGGAGGGGGCGGGGGACGGTGAGTGAGGTGCGATGGCTCCCATAGCGTTTGTTCTTGCTGCTGATGCTGTGCGTGTGTGTGTGCGTGTTTGTTGGCTTTTTTCTCCATCCCCTCCTTTTTTTTTCTTTTTTTTTGCCGATGACGTTGTTGTTTTGCCAGCGCGCTTTGCTGAGGGAGGTGTGTGCGGCGGTGCGCTTTTGCCTCGCTCGTTGGGAGGGGGGCAAAGAAAAGGCCCCGGCAGGGCCTTGGGGGGGGGGGGTTTCTCGCCGCTCCGCCTTGACGTTTGCCCTCTTTTCTTGCTTTTCTCCCCCTCCCCCTTTCCACAAGCGAGCTCCGCACAGATGACGGGGCGCCGCCCCCAGCTGCAGGGGCATGGCGGCCGCGGGTCTTTCTTGCCGTTGCCGTCGGCGCCGCCGCCGCAGGCAAAGTCCTCCTCCCGGTCGCCACGCACCACCTCCTTTTCTGGCCTCCGCCAGCAGGAGGTGAGGCGGCGGCGGCGGCGCCTGGACGCTGGACTGAGCCCAAACGGAGGGGCGTATCCGACGTCCTTTGAGGACAGGCCAAAGCCGAGGGCGGTCACGGCGTCTACCGAAGGCGCCAGAAACGCCGCAGCATCGCAGCAGGCCCGGCGCGAATCGTCGTCCCCGCCGGCGGCGGTTGCACCGGCCACAAATTTCACTGCCACCTCGAAAATGTCCTTTGAGGAGGAACCGGCAGCTTCCCTGCTGCCACCCACGCAGACACCCCTGTTTGCCTCCAGAAGCACCTTCCTTTACGCCGACAGGGAACCAGCAGAGGGGGCGCTGCAGCAGCCAAAGTCTCAATACCAGCGCAGCGGTGTGGTCGAAGCCAACCTGCCTTTGTCAGAACCCTTGGATGCCGCACTGACGTCTTCATCGACTTTTCTCTCCACTATCAAACAGGAAAAGGCCCCCATGGACGCCTCGATCTCCTTGCAAAAGGAACGCCATTCCCCAACAGCCGCCCTGGAGGCAGCGGTTACGGAGCATCCAAGCAGCCACACCATCGTTGTCGAAGACGCGCAGCGGCGGCAGCAGCATGACGTGGGCGTGTACTGCATGCTCCCAGTGACGCACAGGCGGTGGTCCAACAGCCCCGTCTATGACATTGTGGCTCACGCCCCATCCACTCAGGCCTCGACGCGCGCGCCAAGTGCCACGAGTGCAATTCAGGCGTTACCTGTGCCCCCCGCACCCAAGCAGAGGGGAAATTTGCCATCGCCAGCGTGGAAACTGGAAAAGGTGGAGGCCGATAATGTTAAGGAACATGAAGCGCCTGCAGGCGCTGCAGAGGCACGTTCAACTGAAAAGGTCCTGGATGAGACGCGGCGACAGCATCGCCCCTCAGCGCTGCGCCGTCCTCAGCCGCCCCCAGGTTTTCCACATGTAGGGGATGAGGTGGAGGCCGTAGGGCGGCGAGTTTATGCTGGGGCTGAACTCAAGGCGGAGGCGGCGGCGGTGACAGACCGGCACCACGATCAGCTGGCCCAACCCAAAAATCCTCCTACCCCTCAACCGCGTGACGGTCCGGGGGAAGTGGAGCGAACGCCGCCGTGGGAAGTCGTGGCTCAGGTGGAGGCAGTGCAAGAGATTGTGCGCCGTGCACGTCAGACAGAGGTGCAGCGCGACGAGGAGATGGTGCGGTATTTGAGGCCAGAAGAACGGTTGTTGTGGCGCTCGCTGAAGCAAAACTTGGCATCCCTACACGCTAAGTCCTCTGAACTGACTGCACGGATCTGCGAGTGGGAAAAGAGGCATTCAGCCGATACTTTGGCAAGGGTGGAGAAGAGGCTTCGGCTGGTCCAATCCAAAAGGCAGCTTCTGCTGATGGACTGGGAAAAGGTGGAGGATCTCTCTTGGGAGTACCTCACGTCGCAACTGTTGTACGGCGCAAGAAAAGAGTTGGGGGCTGTATCGATGCCTCCTCACTGGCAAATGTTCCAAAAGTGATTGCGTGAAATGAGCTTCTCTCTGTGACAGTGTGTCTGTGTGTCTGTATGTTGTCTATTATCGTACTGTGAATCTTGATGATATATATATATATATATCTTTATTTACCTCATTTTCTCTCTTTGTGTGCAATGTACTTGCTCTTTATTGCCTCGCTGCCCTCCGTTGCTCGAAGGTAATTATTGGTGTAGGTGCTTTGCTTGAATGCGTCTTGCGCGCGGCACGAGTGGAAAGGCTTTCGCTGTTTTCTTATTGTGCGTCTTTGAGTTGCTTATTCGTCGTCTGCGCTCCCTTCCTCCCCCGCTTACTTCTTTTTTTTTGTTTTTCTCTCTCCCTCTCCTACCCCCTCCTTGGACGAGGCCGCAAGCAATGGACGGGGCTGCCGCCTTGGGGGGCGTCTACGGCGCCCCACTGGCCGTCATTTCGATGTCTGGGAGCTTCGTGAAGGCGCTACACATTTCTCCGCAGCAGGCTTCCCTGCTGTGCCCCGTGTTTGCCACACGCGTGCGTCGCCAGTCGGTTGGAATCCTCACCACGAGTTGGCTCCCGCGCCTTCTTCTTGTGACGGGGTCCGGTCAGCTGCTGCTCATCGACGCCAGCGATGGGCGCGTCACACACGAGGCATCGCTCGTCTTCTGCGGGCCCCCGCCCGCCGCGGAGGACCAGCGGCTTGTGCACATTGTGTTGCAGCAGCAGCAGGCCAGGGATGCACCGAAAACCACCTTGTGGATGCGAGTTACCGTGAACAATTCGCTCTTTGCGGCCATTCTTCGTTTTAACGGACCCGCTCAAGGGCTTCCGCTGGAGCTGCTCCGCGTCATTCTGCACTTTGTGCCCGAACGCCATGTCTCGGTGCAGCAGTGCGTGCGCTCAGGACCGCTTGCCAAGTACGTCGGGAAGAGTCTTTGCAGCCTCTCTGAGAAAACCTGTCGTGGAAAAGGGGGTGCGGCGCGGGGAGCTTTTGCTTTGCCGCGGCCTACGAGGACGCACTACATGAATTCTGTCGTCGCGGAGGAGCAGGAGCGGAAAAAGGCGCTCCGGGCCGAAACGGCGGCGCAGCAACGCGAACGCAATGAGGAACCCGCGCAGGAGCACGACGCACAGGCGGTGGGCGTCCCGCACCTCACCGCCGAGGAGGTAGTGCTGCCTGATAAAGGTGCTATCGCGGCGGAAGCCGCGTTGCCCTCAGAAGCGGATGAGGAGGAGGAGGAGGACAATGATGGGCCGCGCGCTGTCGACCATGCCGCGGAGCCACAGGGAACCCCAACGGAGACACTAAGCAGTTCGACTGAGCTGCTGACGGAGGCTGAGGCGCATGACGCGGCGGCGGCCCCGTCGCAGAGCGAGAAGTCCGTGTCAGCCGACCTCACCGGGCAGCAACCGCTGCGGCAGGAGGGCGACGCGGCCGAGTTGGGCTTTGAACTCCCGGCAGCGGCAGGCCCGACGGAAGCGGGTGAGTTGCCAGGGAGGGCGGCAACAGATGCGTCGGCGCGGCGGGCGAGCACAACGGACGAGGCATGGATGTCGCCTTGGCGTGGGACAGAGCCCAACGACGCGGCCTTGGCTGGACGCGAAGCAGGAGACAACACCGCCAATGAGGAGCCGTGGCGTACGGCGGCCTTCCCACCGCATGAGGAGGAAGCGGCGGAGGAGAAGGAGACATGCATGGCGCCGCCGTCGCAGCCCAGTGGACTGTGTGCGGCAGCAACCCCTGCTATAATTACAGAGTCGAATGAGGACACCGAGGGTGGCCTGGCCCATAAGGCGGGCTCCCGCACTCCACTCGAAGTTGCGGAGCTTCCCCCGCCTCTTCTTCCCGCGTACCTTTTCCGGTTGGATGACAAACCCGGCAACGCCGCCGCGGTACCCGTCGCGCGTGAGCCGTGCAACGTGGAGGAGTCCCTGCCCGTCTGCAGCGGCGTTGCTGCGGCTGTGCCCCCTCACGACAGCGACGCCGGGCCTCTGCAGGTCAACGGGGCCCACATACTCTCCGTGTATCCCCTCCAGCGTTCGATGCGAGATGCCACCAGTAAAAGTGCCGAACGCCGTGATGCGGAAGAGCGGTGGCGGCAGGCGTATCAAAAAAATCTTGGAAAGAAGGCCGAATCCCGCGTGTGCGAAACATCCCCTGTAAGGAAGTACAGGCGAGATTCTTTGTCGCTGTACGAGATGGGCACGGGCCTGAAATTCCTCGGGGATAGATAGTAGTCCCATCCGAAAAATAAAAAGAAAAAAGTTTCGCTTTCAGTTGTCATATTCCCTTTCCAAGCGTACTTAAAGTGAGTAGGAGCAATAGTGTGCCCTACTGCGGCTATCCAGTGAAGGAAAAACAAAAAAAGTGGGAGGTGGTTTTATCGGTACTTGCTATAAGTGTCCCCTTCCCCAGTGTCGCCTATCGTCCCTCCAACTAGTGTTATGAGGCAAGTTACGGACGCATTTCCCCCTCAACTGTGCAAAGCTGGGGGCACCGAAGAAAGCAAAAAAAAACGAAAGAAAAACGGAATGTCTTTTTTTTTTTGCTTTCTTACAGCTCGGTGGAGTTCCGCCTCTTTAATTCCGAACTATATACGTATGTATTTGTTTTTTTGTTTTTTACTCTATTTATACTTATTTTCTGTTTTTGTCCTCTGTGTTTCCGCCTTAGCCTGCGTTTATTTTCTTTTGACGGGAAGTGAAGCATTTGTGGGGGGTTATGGCCATTGGGTGTCGTGTGAAAAAGTGTTGGGCCCTCAAAGTCTCCACCAGAGGGCGCCTTCTGGGCCTATTTGGCCTGTTTGGCCTTTGTACGATATTGTCTCTTTGCACATTTTTCGTCTCCACGCCTGCCGCCGAGGAATGGACGAGGGGTATTTTGCGGGGTGGCAGCCTCGGGCCCTTTCCCACGCAGCTCCTGCAGCGCGGCCCAGGCGGTGGGACCATCCTGCGTGCCCGCCCACGGAGCGGGGAGCCGGTTCTGCAACTCAGCCACCTAGGCAATTTCTGCGCCGCGTACGCCCCCGAACTGACGAGGAACCCGCCAAGCCGCAATTACCTCACAACCCTTCCTCGGACGAGTGCGAAGAATAATGAAAGTCGTCTGCCGCCATACCCGCTCATTGCAAAACCAGTGTGCTTTCGGCACGATGTGTTGTACATCGAAGGGGATTGTTGCCAGAAAACCAGAAAGAGCGCGGAATCGTCTTTTTTTCTTCGCCCCCACTGGTCGCATTTAACCAACGCCGTCTTGCGGGACATGCAGAACGACGCATCTATTACAAGCATTGCATTCGTGCCAGCGATAGGAATTATTCCGCTGAACCGCCACTCCATTGGCCAGCTGTATCACGAAATTAATGACTTGGTGAAGGAAGTAATGAGTATCATGACGGAGGTGGATGTCACAACTTCCACGTGGAAGTACAGTGAGATTGGGAAGTTGCCTACACAATTCTTGATTATCCCACATCGGAGGCTGCTGTGGCCGCGAGCGGTGATGCGAAGCGCGTTGCCGGTGACAGCACGCTTCCTGGGTGCCTTTGGCTACCCAACGGCGCCCTCGCGCTACTTCTTTGATGATGCACCAGTGCTGTACAACAACACCGTCTACTGCACCTGTCAGGCCATTTTGGCCGGCGAGGTGCCGTCGGATGGGACATTTCAGCAAAAGTCTGTTGCAGTTCGTCTTGCCGCCGATATGCTGCTTCGATACTTTAACGAGACGCCGTACGAGTCCAAACAAGATGTGGTTGCCGATACGGAAACGGCGACAGCTGTACCTTTACCTATCCTGCGCCGACTCAGTCATGTTCGGCACATTGCACGGCGGTTTTGGACGTCAGAGTTAGAAGCGATGGGGGAAAGCAGCAACAATGAAAGTAGTGAAGTGCCCGCGCATCCCCCTGTCTATCGCCCCAGACTACTGCTCATCAACCGCAAGCATCGTGGGATTTACAACTACACTGCCGTGGTTGCAGTGGCGGAACGAGTTGGATTTAACGTGCAGGTGGTATACCTGGAGCGGATGTCGCTGGAGGAGCAGTTCCATGTCGGTCGTCACGCCGACGTCATGATGGGCCTGCACGGTATGGGACTGACGCACGTCCTGTGGATGGACGGACGCCGTCGAAACCGCTGCCGGGCGCTGTTGGAGCTGATGCCTTTCGGTTGCCCGCAAAAGCTGCTACACTTTTACAAGTCGTATTCCGATTACGTCGGTGTCTGGTACGAAAACATTGAGGCTGTTGATATGTATTTGGCCGGCACTAAGAATTCCGCGCGCTCGGCGAAGCGAGAGAAGCTGGAGCTCGATGCAGTTAAGGAGCAACTGCGTTCCTGCGCCTTCAATTACAGGTACCGGGGGTTTGTCGATCAGATTGCCGTGTATAACATGTCTGTCGTCGAGTCCAGACTGATGGCCGCGTTTGCTAGGTTAAAGAAATGCGGTGTGGACTAATAACTTGGCCTTAATAGTAATTTTCGTCCTTGTTTTCAGGCTTCCTCTTGGAGGTGGTGCAATTATTTTTATTTTATGAGAGATAAGTGTTGTTGTTATGCGGTTTAAATTTTATTAATTCTTATTTCTCGTTTTGTTTCCACCACCACCACCACTACTGTTTTTTTTTGTGTGTTGTTGTGTGTATGTGGGTTTCACCTTTATGCATAGGTCTAGTTGGAGCGCAAAGGGCGCAAATGCATTTTTCTTTCTCTTTTGCCGCGGTAAACAATTTTTTTTCCCCTCCACACAGGGGAGCGGTCCGGCGGATGCGGTTTCCCCAACGACTGCCGCTTTGTTAACTGGTCTGGGGGTTGTTTGCCGTGGGTTTGAGGCCTTAGGTATCTGGCTGACTGGGGCGCGAGAGTGGAGGAAGTCAATCCTGAGGCAAGGGAGGGTTCTCCCGCGTGGAGCGTGACTTGGCTTTAATTTCTTTCTTTTTTCTTTTTTTCGAACTTTGTAGGAACAGCAGGAGGCGGGGCGAGGCACTATAGGCGTTGATGACGCAGGGTTGTATGCGAGTAGTAAGTAGTTCTTCCCTGGTGTTCGTCTTTGGCAGCGAGATTGATGTTGGGGGGAGAGGGGGGGGGGCCTTGAAGCATATTAGTTTATGCGTTGAGTGTTGTGAAGCTTTTCTTTTTTGTTTTGTTTTGTTTTCTCTTTTTTCCCTCCTACTCGGTGCCAACGCAGCGTCGGTTTTCTCGGTGACATTCCGCTTTGTCAGAGAGGGTAGGAGGGAGGGAAGGGGGCTGTTAACGTCCTGAGTGGGATGTGGGGCTGTGATGTGAGTTCTTCGCCTTGGATGGCGTGCACTGGTGCATGCTTGCCTGGGCTATGTGGTGCTAGACGCACGCCTGACGTGTTTTCCTCCCGGACGTCCTGCGAGAGGCCCCACACGCGTACGCACACTTTCGCAACGGACAGCCGTCTTCTTTGCTAGCTAGTGGGTGGGTGGCTCTGCTCCCCCTTGCTCTCTTTCTGTGTGCCTGCCTTGTCCCTCTTTCTCTTTCTCTCTCTCTCTCTGTCTGTACGCTTCCTTCTGCTCTGTGTCATTTTTTTTTTGCCGGCCTTCCTCGGGTTGCCGTGGGACGCGCGCTGGGAGGGAGGAGGCCACCGCATAGGGCGCAGATTCAAGGGGCGAGGCGGGGAGAGGAAGCGAGGCAGACGCCGCCACGAAAGCGAAGGAGAGGTGAGAACAGGAAGGAGGGAAAGTTACGCAAAGAGTAAAGGATGTCGGGAACACATCATCTGTACACGAGCTCTGGCCGCCCGATGCCGCCCCCGCCGAAGACCACCCCGCGCAGGACGTCCAGTGTCTGCAGGACGCCCACACGACGGTACAATCCCGCCCAAAGGGCCCCGTCGGCGTTCTCCAAGGCCTCGCTGAATGAAAACCGTGACCGTCAGCTGGTTCCCGTGCGTGGCAGACAGCAAAGCCCAGATAGCGCCTCCCGTCAACCTCGCCTTCTCTTGGAGGACGTCGATAATGTACGGCGCCGACAACTGGATGAAGGAGGACGTCCGTCAGGGCCACGTCGCTTGAGTCCTAGCAGAAACGGTCGTCAGGAGGAATGGCGTGGGTCGACCCTAGCTGAGGAGCGTGCGAATTCCACTCACATGCGGGAATGCCGCGGCAGCGAGCCGATCCACCGGAGCCCCGGGGGTGTCAGGGCCGTTTCCCCGCGCGAGGCTGAGTTGTACGCCGCCCACACCCTCACCTCGCGCCTGCGGAGCTCCTTGTCGCGTGGCTACAGCCCCCAGCGTGGGCACGCCGAGCAGGCGGTGGTGGGCACCGAGCTCGCGCCCCCAATGCCGCTCCTTCAGGGCACCCATCGCACCTCCAAGAACCGTTACCGGACGACAATAGAGCGATTTATTCAACGTCAGCCGGCAAACTCCCAGGAAGAGATGCGGACAATGTTAGAGGAGTACAGGGGGCGGGAGAATGAGCTCTGCGGCGCACTTTCTGAGGCCTACAGTGATTCCTGGGAGGCTGCTGTGAAGGGAAATGAGTCTCCTAGCCAGCCCCAGAGTCTTCAGAATCGCAGCAGAATTGCATACGACGATCGACAGGACATTGTGGCGACCAAGGCGTTTTCTCTCCCCGAGAACGGGAGGAAGCACATTGACCCCAGCAACGGCGTTGGGTCCGACGATGGGGCGCTGGCTGAGCGTTACCGTCAGGACACGTCTCAGGCTGTTCTCAGCCCCCATGCAAAGTCATCGAAGCTTCAAAGCAACGCCCAGGGCATCAATGGTCCGCGGCCGCTCTCTGAGCACTCCACGCCCTTTCGCAGCGAGGGCATGAATCATGCAATGAGTGCTGAAAAGGAACGGTACGACGAGGTCACGAGCCCACTGCCTCGACGTGGACCTGGTGGAGCCGCAACTGCGGTCTCACCCCTCGGCAAGATCCTCGACTACGAAGAGCTGGCAGCGCGCCCAGGTGGCATGTTGACACCGCCGCTTCCCGCAGACCTTGCCGCGCGCTGAGGCGAGGGGGTGCCACGAAGCTACACCTGAGGAAACGGAGGAAGCTAGAAAAAACACATATTCGTTTCCTCCTGTCAGTGGATGCGCTGGCATTGTTCTTTGTCCGTGCATATGTGTATGTACATATTTATATATACATATTGGCTCGTGGAGGAAATGTACTTGGTGTTGTCTAAAAGGTGCCTTGGCAGGGACTGCCACATCCTACTTCTCGTTTCCCCCGTCTACGCGCCCCTTTTCCCGGTTTTCTCCGCTTTTCTGGGTTTCCTCCTGGAATGCTTCCACCGCTCTGTGAGGTGCGTCGGGACGAGGAACCTTAGGGGCGAGGGAGGGAAGGGGTGGAGGAAGGGACGCGGGGGAGGAAATGAACGAGCAGGAGGAAGAGGCAGCAGCAAATAAGGCAGGGAATTAAAAAAAAACGAAAAAAACGGCGTGTATGCAGCGGAAGTATCAGTGCAGTGCACACGCACCCACGCGGCTCAATGAGGCGGGCCGCCCTGGAGATTGTTGTCGGTTACCACCAGGTGTGAAACACTCGCCTCCTGTAGAAAAGAAGAAAAAAAAGAATACGTATATAGAGAGAGCACTCGGAATATGGAACTGGGGTTCAGCTTTACGATGCTATTTTCCAATGTTAAGCAAACATATATATTTATATATATATATATATAATTACGAACGTCTTTGCCTTTGGAGCAAAGTGGAGGGGAAGGCGAGGCGCCTCCTTTGTCCTTTGTGTTCGTTCATTCTTGCCCTTCCTGTGTTTAGACCCCCCTCGCTGCGGCAGACGATGGTGGGGGCAAGAAAGAAGGGGTGGGGGGGAAAGGCAGTTTGAATAGACTC